TGTTCCGGCTAATCTCTGAAATGGCTGGACAGATTTTGACGGGACTTTTATTGGCAGGTAGCTGATGTAATAAGGAGTAACTTACGCTACTTTTATTTTAGAAAAATAAAGTTATATTCCACGCGGACGAAGTCGCGAGTATAGCTAGTAGATAATATATATCGGATGATTATTTATCTTAATTAAACAATTAATGTTGTAAAATATTCCATTAATAAGAGTAGGTAGTATAAATATATATATGTATATTTATATATATATCCAGATAGTGATATAACTTTATCGTACTCGTATGATATTGTACAATTTATCAATTCATTGTCATCACTAACGACATATATATGCTACTGATTTTACTACGCAGCATTTTTTTATGTAATTGTAATTTACTTACCACACTTACAATCAGAAGTGTTTGTCATTTTGTTTGCTTGCCGTCAGAAATGTTTGTCACCAAATATTTTCGGACGGTAAGTCAATCCGTCGCCTATATATATGAATAGTACGTACGTGGCACTATGTGATACGTGATACCCTATAATTTCACTGTCTCATCTCACTATTCAACAGAACAGCATATAAAGCAAGTTACTTGGCGCATAAAAAATTTAAATTAAATAATAAAAAAGTAGGAATATACTCTTGCATACCTAACACGTATAATTAACTTTATGCTTAAAAATATTTAACTTTAGTATACCTACTTGAAATTAAAACTAATTCTATCATAATTAATTTCAAAAATTCATTCATAATTAAATAAATAGCAAAACTAATTTGTATACCTAATATATATTATTCATTTTAAATTTTAAATATTCTTTGATTGTTGCTGAAGAAAACAGACATAATTAAAACTTATTCTAAGCTTAACTTATTATTAAACTAGCTGTACACACGACTTCGTCCGCGTGAAATTATACAATATTACTTTATTTTTACAAAATAAAAGTAGCCTTATTACATCAGTTACTTGCCAAAAAAGTCCCGTCGGTCAAGCCATTTCAGAGATTAGCCGGACCAATCAGACAGACAGCCAAAAATTTTAAAAATAAATAATTTTGTTAATTTATATTCCATATGAATATAATTAAGTAGTAAAAAACGGTTATTTCAATATTACAAACAGACACTCCAATTTTATTTATATGTAAATATAGATTTCATGAGTGCGATACAGTAATTATAAAACACTTTCTATGTAAAAGAGACCATTTTTAAAATAAAGAATATTTTTTAACATAAAATAAACTGTAATTGTTAGGTGAGTGAAATACGAGTTGGTACATACATTTTTATATGTATTAGTACTTGAATTAGTAGAAGAATAATTAGATTTTTTATTATTGAAATTAAAATTTTAGATAAATTTAATTTACAAGTATATGAGATGTAGATGAGAACAGAATAGAATAGAAATAATCTTATCGTGTACGTGTAGTCACTAAACTACCTGTTGTATAAACTGTTTACTATTTAATTCTCCTGAAAACCCGAGACTGTATAATCATACTCCTTTGCGCTAAGTAAGTTATTATATTAGCTGTTTTGAGTAACAATTATATTCAATTACAGATGCCCGCGACAACAATTCAACAAGTTGTTGATCCTCATGACCGTCCTAAAACAAAACAAAAATTAATAATATAATTTTGCTATTCAAAAAGAGATTATAAACCTTAATAAACTTGGATTTATTTACTCGCCTTACTTCCTTCATTCAATCTATCAGGAGCAGAAACTGGAATGAATTAAATTATGACAGATTCATTATTAATGGCAATGAATAAGAGAATTAATAAAATAATTTATTCCAATATTTCTTGTTTATGTTTATTATATATTGTTTATATACAGTTATATATATATATATATATATATATATATATATATATATATATATATATATATATAAAAGTTATTTTTCCTATTATTACAGATAAGAGAATATTACATAATATGTGAAACTTCTCTAAAATCTTCCACTGTATGTGTCAAATTGCAGTAGGAGCCTAAGAATTTATATTTACAATACATAAAACTGCGAAACAAATAAAATATTAACTAAGCTGTATTGCTAGCAATGGGGTCATCAGTCTACATTACTAACAACTAGCTACTCACCCCGGCTACGCATGGGTGTACATGTTTTAGAAATATAAACATTCTTCTTGAATCACTCTATCTATTAAAAAAAACCGCTTCAAAATCTGTTGAGCAGTTTTAAAGATTTCAGCATACATAGGAACGTTGTATATTCAACGACAGCGACTTTGTTTTATACTATGTAATGAAGTGGTACATATTATAATTTCGTACTACTCAAAAATAAATGTAAATACAAGCATATTGGGCTTATTGTTCAAAATTAAATCAGATTTATCGCTGATAATCATTATAGTTACTGCCTAGTATTTTCGCCATAATAGTGACCAAGTGACGTTCACTAGACAACTGTAAAAAATCATCTGTGCCATGCAACTTACTTTGTAAGATATGTTTCAGCTATAGAGAGCTATAATTATATGATGAGCGTTTTATGTGTTTAGGCAACGATTACCCCTTACCGTGAGACAAGCCGTCAGCACCTAATTCGTTAAAAAAAATTCCATTGATTACGCCATCCCTTTCATTATAATTAAAAAACTGAGTTGACTTAGGCTAATTACTTCCATTAAACAAAGACACCAGTATTTTATTTCCCATTACCATATTATATATGTACTTATGTCCAGTATCGGCATTATCAGCATTTCAGTTATCAGTATAATAGTTTAGATAACTAATCCTGTAGGTAGAATAATAAGGCATTTAATTAGTTTTATTCAGCTTATACATTAGATATTAAAAAAATATCACAAAAAACATCGATATATGTACATAAATAAATTTAATGTGTATATTATACAAATTGGATGTGAATTATTGAGTGAGAGTGTAATGTTTAGTGCTAATATGTACACGACACAATGAAGAGATGGCACGGGACCCTGTGCTACATCGTGATGCTGCTGTGGCCGAGCGAAAATGCAAATCCCGGGAATATGTTATTGCCCGGGAAAAATATTTTAAATATAATCCCGGAATTCCTGGGACAGTCTATTACCGAACCAACGACGACCACAGCCCTAACGAGCGCACAGGAATTAGCAGATTTTATAGAAGATGTATCTACTACAAATACTGCCACTTCTATCAAAGCGTTGAATGCAGAGCAAGTAGCTTATGTAAGTATATATTTTTTGTTCTTCTTAGTAGCATTAAAATTTGAGACAGTTCTAATCAAATAGAACTCTGTACAGTATTGCTTCTAGGTACATAAGTTTATACGATGGCAAAACATAAAAAGGGATTCATTGAATTGGATCCCGCAAGCAAGATTATATTGCAGATGGAGCAGTACATTGCAAACTCCATGTGGATTATAATGCCAACCGAAAAATATTGTATAACTAGCTGTTCGTCCGCGTGAAATATAACTTTATTTTTCTAAAATAAAAGTGGTCTAAGTTACTCCTTATTACCTAAGTTACTTCTTATTACATCAGCTACCTGCCAAAAAATTTATATTCATATGCACGTAGTAAAAACGGTTATTTCGATATTACAAACAAATACTCCAATTTTATTTATATATATAGATAAACAAATAAATCATAACTTCGTGCAAAAAATATAACCTAACCTAACCTTCGACTACATACTACTACAATAATCGAATATTATTATTTACGTTATTATGTTACGCTATTCGTTGCCATTTTGGAATACTAAGATGTTATACTCTTACCCTGTAATTTCACTGACTTATCTCACACTTCAACCAGAAAACAGCTAACAAAACAAATGGCGGCTGAAATAGGCGACGACTTTTCGTACTAGGGATTGTTTGTTGATATTTAGTAGAATTCAAATTATTATTTATATGTGAGTACACTTGTACTCTACAAGTGTACTTAGCAACAAATATTAATTATCAGAGATAGTAATTATAATATAATGGTCGCTTTTAAATGTTAAGTAATTTATAACAAAGAATCTAATCGCCGATCTCAAGAGCATAGTAAAAAAAATACTGTCAATAATATCTACAAAATTAAATAATCACAAGACAACCCTTAGAAATATTGCACCAACAATATTCGTGGGTACATTATTCTTAATATATATATACTTATTATACGTTTTATTTTGCACTAATAATTTTACAAATATATATGTAATTATCGAACTTACTATGTTTTCTTATTGTATCGACATTTGCGTCAACTTCATGCTGAAGTCTCCATCAGAGTGAGTGCGGAACATTTGTAACAACGTCTCGCCTCGCTCTGAAATACATTTATATAGATATACAAATAATTTATTTACACTTTTAGTAGACAAATAACAAAATAATATGCATGCTAAAATGTCAGTGCGAAACGTTGAAAAAAATGGTTGCGAAAGACGAAAACATGGTACAGTTCATTAAATTCCGGTACATAAAACAATTCGTGGGTGCAACAAAAACATTGACTGCATCCGCTATATATTTACAAGTTGTGATCATTTTCGCAACACAAACTCTAATATTATAATCTTATCTATAGTGGCGTATCGTTGAGCGTCAGTGGCTCGCTGTTGAATCCTCATTATCGACAGATGGGCCAAAATTGATAACTAGAGCTGTGCGTATCGTAATCGGTAAACATTACATATTCGCGACGCGAAACACGTGCTCGTAACTTTCGATTACTGACATGTTCACATATTATCGTTCCCGAATCTTCACGCTTAATACATATACTAGGAATAACTATTCGTTATAAATAGAAAGCATCAATCTGATTCACGAGTGAATAATATCGATGTGTATCCAACGATAACGATTTAGTGATGGTTTGTTGTGTATCCATGTGTATGACTGATGTGTGATTTAATGCGAGGAAATGTTTGTGGTTGTGTTGCTATTGTTTCAGTGCAAATGGTTTATATTATTGTGTCTCGCACAGCATTATTTCCCGGAAACAATGCCGGGATTTCCGGGAATTCCCGGCCCCGGGATACCGCCTCCGTATTCAATTGGTTCCCATCCCTATCACGACAGACCGCGGCCTAATTATGTGAGTTTATTTATATATTTTTCATAGTATTCTATTAAAACGACGTATTCCTTTATTGAATGAAAAAGGACATAGTACGTAGTACATTATCTAATAAAAACAAAACATAATCGAAACTATGTTAACATATAATTTATCCGAGAATTGCGATATTCAATACAAATTAAGTTTCCGCATTTATACGGCACCCACCGAATTTAAAAATATTTCTAGATACTAATTATTGTGGTCAATAATATAAGTATAATTTACGTACATAACAAGAGATATCTTTATAATGCTATATCTAAATCACTTATCATGTTTTCCCGAGACGATATTATTCGAAGATAAAATTTTAAATTAATCCACAATTTCAAATAACGTCTAAATCATACATTCGTCTAAATCATTGAAAACTGTGTGAAGATGGTAAATATTTGGGCAGTTTGTATTTGGTGTTGGTATTTATTTCTACCGCCATGCAGCTAGCCTTGTGAGTTGAAGGATGAAATTAGCCACACTCTCGAAGTCAGTAATTACTTAGTCATCTATAGCAACGCACTAATAATGAGGTATTTATCGTATAAACCTCACATATGCCTGACGGTCTCGATGGTGTAGCGGTTTAGCGTACCACTTTACTTCCGATGGTCGCGGGTTCGATTCCTCGCACGGTGCAAACTTTGTATTCATGATTCTTTGTATTGATCTGGGTGTTTTCTATGTATATTATGTAAGTATTTACAAAAAAATATCTAAGAATTTTTATCAGTTGTCTAGTACCCATACCACAAGCTCTGTTTACCGTGGTTCTAGATGGCGCTGTGTTCATTGTCCAGGGTTATTTATATGTAAATCATCTAGTGGTCATTTAAAAGTCGAACTTGACTTGACTTATCGAGCAAGCAAATCGCTATGGAATATATAAGGAATACAGTGCGATATTTTCCATTAAATTAATGTAGATAGGGTATCATGAATATTACCATAATTAAATTTTGTATTGCAGTTTATGTATATAGACGATAATGACACTTTCTATCAGGTGGGTCATCACCTTTTTCTGCTATAGGTACCGATTACACAAACATATTTTGTATGCGACTGAAAAATGGAAATTGAAAAAGCGAGATTTTTAGGTGTCTAAATCTAAAAAAAAAATATTAATTAATTAATAGACACTAAATAACTTAGTTTTTTAGTAGATATTTTAATAAGGTAGCGGTTAACTTGATAGAAGGTAAAACTTGGTCATTTACTATTATATATTTACCTAACATCCCTAAACAACACTAAATGATCTCAGTCGTCTCAATCTAATCTCAGTGTTGATATCAATCCAATTCAGTTTTGTCCAGTAGATACTCTTCAAACGCAATCAAGAGTAACTAAGAGAACCGATTTGGTAATCGGTTATTAGTTACTCTTATTTGCGCTGTTTAGTTTATTCTATGTACCTAATATGCTTTGAGGTTATACGTAGTAATGCGGACTGATGGTCCCCTTGCAAGTATAGCAATGTATGGACAAGTCGACTGGGCCCTGAAAACCATCGTGGCTGATAATAACAATATTAATATCTCAGGACTATATGAATTTAGTGCCTTCTAGTTCAAAGATAAGCTGAGCTTGTGTTATGGATACTAGACAATTGATATAAATACATAGATAAAATTTTTAGTAAATATATACATATAAAACACCGACACCAATACAAACAATCATACTCACGAATACAAATGTATGTACCGTGTGAAGAATAGTGTGTGCTAAACAGCTAGAGCACAGAGGCCGTCAAATTCTGAATAATTAGCGAAAATAGGTTAACTTACCTTGATGGGGTGATAAACTTGTAATTGCGGGTGATAATCACCAAACAATGACAACTATAAAAGAAATGATTACGATGACAAAAATTTGCGGACTATTCTATAATACATGTGTTTAGAATTACAGCTTTTTTAAGAAGTATGAAAATAAGTGGGTGAGGTTGTAATATCTTGAGGCTAGTGTGTAAGGATGTTGGACAGATACCTATTATTATAATTCTAATAAACAATTATATAGATAGGTATCCGCTTACAAAGGCATTAGATACAGTCATGTTATAAAGTTATCAATTGTGTTTGTTTAGTTATGTTTCATTATTATCTATATATGATAATATTGTTGATAATATCCTAATTCACGTTGTATACAACGTAATGGATTAACGAAATAACTATTGGTCGATATAGTGAATTAGTGACGGTCAACGGCCTTCGAAGATTTAAAAGACCTTACATAAAAACAATTTAAAATATCGGATACATATCCGATATATTGTACTAGACAACCTTGTCCAGGTGCTCATAACGCTGTGTGTTTTATATTTATTTATTAAAGTTTTAATGCAAAAACACACAAATAAGGAACCATATAGCGGACTTAACACATTGAGAAAATTTCTACCAGTCAACCACAGGGCAAAGAGATTAAGTGGCCGGTACATTTAAGTAAATGACTAGAAACAAATAATAATAAAAAGAAGTAGGTATTAAATATACATATATAGGTACATTTACATGATACATAGCCGATGTCACTTTGGAATTATATCTTTTAATTAGTAGCATAGCTTAACATTTCCCCGTCTGTGCTGACCAGAAATTCACGGCTACCTCTATCTTTGCCTAATAATATTAAAATTGGTAAAGCATATAAGTATATTATATTTTGTCAATTAATAAAAAATATAGTATAATATTTTTCATGTTTTTTTTTTACATTCAGTTTCAGATTTTACGCCACCTTATTTTGTGCGCCGCTATCGCTTTTAAGTGATAAAAGAATCTCTCAAATAGGAGTAGAATTTTATCATACAGATCAATAATAAATACCTATATGAAATTTCATTCAAGTACATTCTCATATCATTGAAGAATCTAAACATGCTCACATCCAAATTCATCCCTTAATAATATTGGTAGGATTCATCCAATTAGATAATTGATCGACTATCTGCCCGACTGACTGATTAATATACTGAATGACGTGTTTCACACGTCAGAGGCTGCCGAATCAAAAATTTCTTGCGCTATATTTAGCCTATACCTATTTAAAGAATCAATTCCTTTCAATATAGTTCGAGACGATATAACTACATAATTGTTTGTACATCTTATTTAAACCTCGACGCAAAAAGATTTATAATTTTGACGTCCATTGTTTGCATATCTGTGTCTATCTGTGGCATCGTAACTCCTACCGATTATGATGTGTTGTTTTTGTTTTAAAGCTAATCGACGTGGATTTTATTCATTTATGATGATCTGTTCAGATATTTTGAGGTCATTAGATATTTTTGTTAAATGCGGTAGGGTCTGAGACGCATAAGGGGTATTTACTTTTTAGAGTTATTTCCTGAGGTAAAAATTAAGTAACCCGTATAATAATTTAATTATGTATTTATTATATACCTTGGTATGATGTTTTTTGTTTATTTATTTCTTGTTATAAATATTTAAATAAAATAGTTTTCTTTTATGGGAAATATATTTAAATAGAGAACTACCCGCCTGGTGTAATCAACCGCAAACCCTAGAGCAGCGGTCCCCAACCTTTTTAGTGCCATACCCCATCCTAGCCTCTCTAAAATTCTTATCTTATGCCCCCCCTATGCAATATAATATAATAATCTCAGGACAATTCACACAGAGCCATCTAGACCCAAGTTAAGCTAGCTAGAGCTTGTGTTATGGGTACTAGATAACTGATACATATACATAGATATTTTTTTTTGTAAATCCATACATATTATACATAGGAAACTATACAAACAATCAATGTATAAATAATCGGTCGTAAGCGGTGTTTGACCGCTAAACCAGAATATAAATAATAGGTTTTAGAAAGAAATCACTACGAAATTGTTATTGAAAGAGTGAATAAAGTTTCAAAACATATAATGAAAAATTCACATTCTATATAATTTTACTAGAGTCCATTTTCAAAGTGCCCCCCTTAACAATCAAATTACCCCTCAGTGGGGTGTGGGCCCCACGTTGGGAAACACTGCCCTAGAGCCTAAATAGTCACGTACAGTGCGGTTTCAGAGTAATTTCCTCTCGCGAACCCTCAATTTGTTGAATGAGTTACTTGTTAACGTTCTCTCTAGAAATTACAATATTTTAAAATGGGTACATTAGGGTCGGAAACAGACTCATAAAAGATCTGCAGTTTCAGGCGTCCATAGGTTACAGTCGCTGTTTACCACCCAATGGGTGATGACGCGACGAGCTGGAAGCCGACCAAAGCTGCTATCAGCTATAATTATGGGAACGATGTGTTGTCATACCCGCGATGCGAGGATTTTTACAAATAAAATTGGCTACATAAATCACATGCGAGCATATCAACGGCAAAACCGGAGTTGAAGACAGTGCCTTGGCCGAAATCAGCCGAGAACACATCATCATCATCATCATCACCACACAATAGGTCGTAATCTTGTTTCAAACATATTCATAAGTGGCTAATATGTCCTACATGATTTTAAAATTTTGATTTTTGAACAAAAAGCATACGGCAAACAAGTTATTTGTCGCCATTGTGATGGAAAAAAATTATTTCTTGCTACTTCAATCGTAAATATTACGTTTTAATATAACTTTAGGGGAGAGTCAATAGTCAATTGCTGTTGAATTCGACATATTGGACCTGAAGTTAGGTCCAGTTTAGATTAGGTTAGTTCATACTCATTCCATTATCCTCCACTGGTGCCACGTCATCGTATATCGTTAGCACAGGCAAGTGCCAGATCTATGGAGTGAACTGGATGGTAGAGGAAAAATTATAATAAAAAAAAAATACATTCGTAAGCGGCTAAAATGTCCTACATGAATAAATGATTTTTGAATTTGCACTATGCCATTATTACTTACTGCGAAAACATATGTATACTTACAATCAGCTGGGACGTCAGCTTGTTTGCATTTCCAATTACAAATAAATACTTTACGAATATCCTTACATATGTCTTGTTTAGATAAGGTGCCTCATATTTCGCGTGTTTACTGCTCTTCAGTAGGCAATTCTCGACACAAAACTGTGGTATGGTTTATTTCAAGAAATCTTCTCTCATTTAACTTTAGGATAGTTTACAACTTCAACCTTGGTCGCTTTTCGTAAGTTCATATAATTTTAGTACATATTATATGATCTATATGATAAATATAAATATATTTATATAGTTACGTATGTAACTATATAAAAAGGACGGCAAGAATTAGCTGGAATTAGAGGAAATGAAGAAGTACTGCAAAGGGTTAAAGAAAAGAGACATATCATAAATATTATTGAGAATAGTCGGGGAAAATTGTTGGGGAACTGAATAAGATACGACGAACTTATGAATAATATTATCGAAGTAAAGAAAGAAAGAGAAGAGAAGAGATTGATGAAAGATCGTGGAAAATGGCAAGAACTCCACCAACAAGAGCGCGGCTCTTAAATTAGAATGAATGAATGAGTTACGTAATGTAGTTTGAGCCCTACAGAGTACATGCTTACGCTATATTGATGACTTATACTTTATTTAAAAAAATATGTATATATATAACTGACATTTGCTTTACTTATTAGTTTTGTTAAGAAACGTTCCATAAATGTGCTATAAATTCATATTAAGTGTAGCGTTAGGCAGAATGTATATAAGACAGCCACTGTTATAATGAACTAACAAAACAACCTCGGTGGTCTAGCGGTTTAGCACACCGCCTTACTAATGGTCATGAATTCGATTCTAATGGTGAAGATTATTAATTACCATAGAACAATAAAATATGATTAGTAACATTCAAAACTACTGAAAACTGAATTAATCTTCCTTAAAAAAATACAACAATATGATTAATCACTCGATTCCTAAATTAATAAATAAATAAACATGCCTCAACCCGTGCATTCTGTGTGTAAATCTTACATAAATGTAAATAGACTTGTTTGATTGATCACGAAAACTGATAAACTGGTTAGTACAGAGTACAAACGCTGCTGTATTTTATCAATGCCTGATTTAGATTATAATATAAATATAGAAAACTACTAAAGTATTAATATAGGTATTAACTAACTTAAAGTGTATAGATTTGACGGCCTCGGTGGTCTAGCGGTTTAGCACACCATTTTACTTCCGATGGTCGCGGGTTTAGTTCCTCGCACGGCACAAACATTTGTATTCATAAGTATAATTGTTTGTATCGGTCTGGGTGTTTTATATGTATATTATTTATATATTTACAATATATATATATATATATATATATCTAAATATTTACATAGATGGCGCTGTGTTAATTGTCTAGTGTTATCTATTTATTAATAGATATTTGAGTTCTGTAATACACTTTAAGCAGCATAATGTTATATAGTAATTAGTGGATGACGTAGAAGGAGACATTCATCAAGATGTCTTCCATAGTACTGAGAAAGAAAATGTTCTTGTTAAGGGTTGTCACCCTCGTTACTCCCTTACTATAGGGGTTAGAGACTTGAAACTACTTGTGTCTTTCTAGAGTAAGAACTACAAATACAAGGTAAAATTACTTCCATAAACGCTAGTGCAGATTTCGATAGCTTAACCGGACAGACACAATTTACTATAAATTGAGTTAAGATTCGATTAAACATATATATAATAATAATATCAATCCTGGACAATTACACAGTGTCATCTAACCCTCAGTTAGCTGTTTTGGAGGTAATAGAAATACTTTATTCAAAATACATATATAAGGTACAAAGGAATTAACCAGACAAATACAAACAGTCAGGGGGAAAGGGGATTACGAGTAATGAGGACTGATGATATTATTGCTAGCAATGTACCCTATCAGGTTGTCCTCCACGAGGTTCCAATTCTTGGTGAATTTGTCACGATGGCCTAACTGACCTGACCTCATGCTCATCTTATCATCCTCCACTGGTATACCGTTAGCGCAGGCGGGTGCACCATTACATTGACATCCGTAAAAAAAAATACAAACAGTCATACTCAATAATATTATGTAATATTATATTATCTGTGATAATATAAATCATAGCCGTACCATAGGACAGTGTACGCACCGTGGGCGAGCGTGACGACGCGCGCGAGGCGCGGCGGATTAACCTCTGGACCACCAAGTACTTAAATATTATTAAAATGTTAAATATTATTTATAATTGTTCCAGGATAGAGGTGACCCACCAGACCTGTTGCACCCGGTGCAGTATGCTGGCAAGGCGCAGGATCTACAGGTCTACCCGCTACCACTAGAGGAGTCAGACCACGAGCTAAAACTAAACGTTACGTGGAGCCCGTCATTAGGTAATAACCGCCATATTAATACGTAAAGCAAAAAAATTTTATCTCTTTTTACTAAAACTGTATGGATGGAGCAGAATGAAATTTTGCACGCTTATAATTTATATAAAGAAGGAGTGTAGAATGTTAATATTTTTTTAATAAGACCTAAAAATATATTAAATAATAAAAAAAAACATTACGCTTACTACCATGTATTTAATACACGCATATTTACTCTTTTGTTTATCGTGAAAGTCTATGGTAAAATTGAGAATAAATTAATATTGTTTGTCTTTAATATTGTCTATAGGCTTAGTGAATGTAAAATCATATGATCTAATATAAGGCCATTAAGCGACCACTAGTAATAATAAAATTTTCATGAATTCAGCTGCCAAATAGCTAGCTTTGTAAGCTGGGTTTTGGTCGTAGGTTACAGATTAGGCGTTGACCCTAAGTCTTCTGGAAAGGCAAAGAAAAAGTGAGTGCTTCAATATATGTAGGCGACGTCTATAATCAGATGGGTCGTCAGCTTATTTGTCATTTCAATTACATAAACAAAAATAGTTTTGTTTAATTTTAAGTTTTCTGTAGTCAGAGGAATAATCAACATCGATGTCGTTGTAAACGCACTTGATACAACCACATTTAATTAGGAATAAATAATACAGTGTTAGTAGTAAAAGAGTATACTATGTCGAAAAGAAAAGAAAGAAAAAGTGATAACAACAATTACCACAAAGAAGTAGAATAATCTAAAATATTGATATACACTGCGCGGTCACTTTATCAATACCGAATGAAAATTTCGACATTTATTTTCAGATTTCCATTTTGATTCTTTGTGATAGTGAAAGTTTTTCGTATATGTCGTAGCAGATGCAGTCACGTAGGATTTTAGATATAGTTATGTTAGTCACTTGACGTCAATACCGTTATTCTCGACCAAATGGTCAAGAATATCAATTGTTTAACTTTTATTATAATGAAACAAACTTAATGTAAGCACGTTTGATAGTTACTGTATTTTTGTTTCTACCACTCATTCGTAATTAACTATTATTATTATTTCTAAGCAGACATGACTTACAAAGTCATGTGAGCCAGTACAAACCTGGCTCCACGGTGACTCAGTCACTCCGTAACTGTGTAACTCTGTAAGATGGTAACTCAGTAACTGCTCACCTCAACCGTGTTCGAGTACAAGAAGACTTTGCTTATCCCCTCCTAGAGGGCGCTAGTGTGCTGACCAATCAGAGCGAATGCTCATGTACTCGCTTACAGTTTAACGACTCTTTATGATTATAGATTTCGTAATTACCTAATTGCTTCAGAATTATAATAAGCCGAGCTTGTTATAATTCTCTAAAATACTATTAAGAATGATAGTTATTAAATTGCATGTTTTTGTTATTATAATTAGGGTTTATGTTAACGATGTTGTCAGTCAATTGACTGCCCTAATTTCTGTAATAAATTATGGCAGACAATTGAGTGCCTTATTATTCGATCAAAAATTATTAATTCAAATTAATCATAATGGTTTCTATAAATATTAATTCTACACTTACATTTCACAGTAATAGAAAATATTATAATTGTAATTAAAACTCTTATTTTCAAAGATTTTGGGACAGTACAATTCCCGAATCATGCCAGCGCCGATATATATTATCAACCTGTATGAAAAACTTAATTTAAAAAAAATGTCTATTGCTAAAAATCCATTGTTACCTGTAACACATTAACATGCCGATTACTACGTAAAAATAACGCTCTTAAAATCCATAGACAACTCTTACCACTTATCATTAGGTGAGCCATTAGCTTGTTTGCTATTTCCATTAGAACGATAGAAAATCATACATACAAACATATAGAAGTATATATTCGTCTATATCAACGAAATGATGTAGCGTCGCAGGACAAACAGGGGCAGCAATTAATGTAGATTAATTACGGCCCATGTAAATAAAGGTCATTTAGGCGTGCTACTGTAGAAGTAAGTCAGGGATGCCAACCGTATAACAATCCTCGTATAAGTATGACATATTTGGTCTTCGGAATGAGGCCATTTCATTAAGATTTTATTTTTGACCTACAAAATTGGTTAAATTATGATGTACAAAGTTAGTGTAGCCAAATTGAGGCAATATAGGTATGTCATTTTATTAGAATTTGTATTTCGTATTATTCTATTCTAATATTTGTAATTCGTATGAGGCTAAATGTCTTAAGGTTGGCAACCCTGATTGTAAGCCATTAATTTTTCCTACAAGATTGTTTTGGTTTTTTATTTGATATTAGGCTGCCTTAATACATTTTTTTTATTATACATTGCAAATTTTGACTTAAGTGAAGAAATAGTTTAATTTATTACTAGTGAATCGCCCCAGCTTCGCTCGTGATCTTTATGCGAAAGTTGAATGTATGTGAGTTGAACTTTTTTAATGGTTGATATGAAATGGTGTTCTCACATGCGCTAACGGTAAAACGCTTGCGGGATCCCAGTGGGGATGTTAAAATGAGCATGAGGTCAGCTCAGTGACCCCATCTTTACAAAGGGTAATTTACTACGATGGTTTTCACGGAGAACTACGTGGAGGTCAACCTGAAATAGTACATGACTTCGTGCTATAAAAAAATATTAAACCGATATGATTCACATAGAGTGATTATTTTAATCCTCATAAATACGGGTGTGTACAGATAGATAACATATTGCACAATATGAAGCTATTATTTTACGTTTTGACACAAACGGCTGAATCTTTGTTAATAATAAATAAACAAAACATACGGGATGTATCCTGAAAACTTCATAATTTTATAATGTTTATTATATATAGTTTACTATACGCTACGGTCTGTGTAATGTGGAGACGATAACCAAGTTCTCTGAAATCTGTTACACGACGGTGAACCCATAAATATGGCCAAACGTTCGGACATAAGATTTTATGATATATTAAACAAACTATACTATTAACATAAACTATTAATTAGCGACTCGGTTTATCTTGACGATAACCAAATGTAGTATGTACCTTAGATACTCGATCAGGCGGTTAGAAAACGTTACGTCTGGTTATAGATTCAAAGTTAGGATATAATAATGTTTAATAATATTTAAATCCACACAGAATAAACAAAAACAAAAATACTTATTAATAAAAAAAAAATATTTTTAGGGTCATTTTTATAGAGAGGGCCATCAAAATCGATGCAGAAAGTAATCAACCAAACGACAATCATAAGACATATTCCAAAAGACTATATGAATATGTATTTTTAAATTGTGTATAATCCTTATGTATTTTGCATATATATTTCTTTACTTAATATATAGTAATTGAATTTATTTATCTTAATATCTTTGTTATAAAATTGCACCATCTCTGATCAGCGCGACAGTTGACTGGTAGAGAATGCCATCAGGCATTATTAAACGTCATTGGATTGTATCACGGGTACAAAGGATAGTTTTTACCTAAATTTACGCTGTCAGATATATTTTATCATTTTTCAACCCGTAGCCAAAAGTTTAACATTTAGTCAATATTCTCAATTAGAATGTTTTGTATCTACATATATATGCAAAAAATGAACAATGTCAATCCTGTGCTTAATAATTTAATTGTTTAATAAGTTGTGAATGAAATTAAATGTTCTTGGACAGGACCACCAGCGAGAGATTTTTCATTGGAGGTCAGAAGCGTCACAAACACCATTGACTGTAAAACTCCAATGTGCTACGAATATAACATTCCTGGGGTAAGTATATACATACCATAACATACTTGTATATATATTTACAAACACAATAACAACAATATCTCAGGACAAATCACACAGTGCCATCTAGTCCCATATTAACCAGAGTTTGTGTTATAGATATGAATACATAGACATTTTTTTTGTAAATATATACATAATATAGAAAATACCAAGTTTGATACAAACATCATACTTATGAATACAAATGTTTGTGCGGTGCGAGGATTCGAATCTGCGGCCATCGGATGTAAGGCGGTGTGCTATACCACTAGGCCATCGAGGCCGTTGAACACATTTGCTTATTGTTTCCGAAGCTTATAAAAGACAATTGATTTATCATAAAGAAACAAAATTGCCTATACTCAGACTACAATAATTCAGTAGTAAAATTAAGTATGGTGTGTTATATAGAGCGCAGTTATTTTCAATTAATTGCATGTATACATTCACGTAAGAAATATTGTGAGATATTACAATGTTAAACAGAATTTATAGAGAATCAATTTTCCCCTCAGGCGAGGATCAGTACAGAATACAGAAACAAATCGATCATGTAAACCACGCACAATTACACGTTTCTTCAGTATGACAAATTCAAAAACTATCTTTATATATAAATGTCTCAAATTAGTGCATACAAATCATAGATTAATAATGTCAATATTTTTGTTTTGTGTTCTATTACATTCACAAACTCCCCAAATTACATTTTCTCATCAGTCAGGGAACAGTTTCATTTTTTGTATTTAACTAGTGTACCAGAGGGAAACCAGAGGGGGGGGGGAGGGCTTGTTTCATCTGGTATACATGTATTATACATTATACATACACCTTCCTCTTGAATCACTGTATCTCTCGCTAAAAAGAGCATTAAAATCCGTTGTATACTTTAAAAGATCTTAGCGAACAGACAAAGGAATTGATATCATTTTATACTAAGTAAAGATATATTTATTTTCTTTAGAAATTCAGCGTGAAAATGCTGCCAGCGTTAGGGTACCAGACGGGCCAATTTTAGTGATAATTGTCATTTCTAATTTAAATTTGTAATTTAAAGCGTATTATTTTAGGTAATTTAATTAATTTTGTTAGTTTAAATGTATGTTAAATTAATTAGGAGAATTAGAAAATGAAACAGAAATACAAAGTATACTGCATTTTTTTATTGTTAAATACGTATATTATTTTTTAAGCATGTTTTTAATATACAATAATTTGAAGCAGACATTATTTAACCTCTAGATTTATTTCAATTAAAGTATGGGGCATGCGGTCTTCAACGTGTTAAGATCGCCTTTTTTGTGTAACAGGATGCAACGTGGTGGATAGTGCCTGCGTTCACGAACCACGTGGCTGAAACCTGCGCTGTGCGACCTGGGTGTGCGTATAAAGTACTCGTCACAGCACATCCATGGGATGGGCGCACCATCGCAGAAAAACTTATAGAATTAGATGGTAGGTGTCTAAGTTTGCTATCTATATTAATAATCTATGTATACTAATATTATAAAGCTGAAGAGTTTGTTTGTTTGTTTGAATGTTATTGCTAATCTAAGGAACTACTGGTTCGAATTGAAAAATTATTTTTTTCTTATTATCATTTGTCGAGGACGGCTTTAAGCTATATAACATTACGCCACGACGAATAGAAGCGAAGCATCAGGGAAAATTATTGCAAAAACAGGGTAACCACGCGAACGAAGTCGCGGGCACAGCTAGTAGTAATAATAATCCTGGACAATTAAAAAACGGCATCTATTAATAATACGAAGATAAATATCAATAGTACCAAGCTAAGCAAAGCTTTTATTGTGGGTACTAGACAATTGATATAATAATAGTAATATTTCATGATAATTCACACGACGCAATCTTGTCCTACGTTGAGCAAAGTTTTGTTATGGGTACTTGACAGATGACGTAAAAATGATAAGTTAATTTTTTTTTCTAAATACATACGTATACGTAATGCACATGGAAAACACTCAGACTCAAATAACTGACTCAATATACAAACGTTTGTTTCGTGCGAGCACATATATCTATACTCGTATCTTCTTCCAAGTAAAGCAAGAGTGGATTGCTAGTCGTATATAAAATGTAACCCTATGATAATATTCTAGACTGTTAAAAAAGACAAAGTGAATGCGTATCATTTTTATTTCATCAAGTTACAAATCAAATTTAACTCGAGACAGTTTGAGTTTCTATGATGATAAATTGGATTTATTTTCGACACGATCGCCTTAAAATAGTAGTCGGTTAATCTTAGAGCTTTCTTATTCTATATCTATACATACTAATATTATAAAGAAGAGATACTTGATTGTTTGTTTATTTGCATCAAATAGGCTCCGAAATTACTGAACTGATATGAAAAAAATATGAATAAACTAGCTTTTGCCCGCGGCTTCGCTCGCGTTAAGAAGTATTATTATTAATTAGGTATAGTTTTTGGGGCTTTATTTTTGTTTCCTTTCTTAGGGATTGCCTACATCATAGTAGCTTTATGCATGCAAGTCCCAGCCCGATAGGTTTAAAATTGACAAAGTTTCATATAAACTTTCATCCCCTATTTTATCCCCTTAGGGGTGGAATTTATAAAAAAAAAACTTTCTTAGGAGATGCCTACGTCATGGTATCTTTATGCATGCAAAGTCTCAGCCCGATCGGTTTAAAATTGACAAAGTTTCATACAAAATTTCATACCCTATTTTATCCCCTTGGGGGTAGAATTAGTCAAAATCCTTTCTTAGCGGATGCTGACGTCATAACATCTACCTGCATGCCAAATTTTAGCCCGATCCGTCGCGTGGTTTGGGCTGTGCGTTGATAGATCACTCTGTCAGTCATCTTTGAGTTATATATATTTAGATATAAATACTATTAGGATTTTACGGATATCCTGATGAATATAGACTGTAAAATATTATGAAAAACGATAGGTATCCATATGAAAACTTCGATAACCCAACATGTGAAAAAAATACCAAAAAATCGTATATCTATCGGGTACCTACACTACAGTCCTGTAGAGGACATCCCAGTGATGGCTGGATCATACGTCATACTCGTGAGCGAGTGGTGTTCGTAGGGACTGGTCCGTTGTAATTTGATTGTGTATTTAATATTTAACTCTAATAAATAAGTGCTAGTTGGTAGTTTGTTCACACGTTTCGACTTAAAAATATAAAGTTACAACGATTATTTAAAAGACGCAAGTTTCTTTCTCATTCATGATTGATTTCTGAAGTTTTTCAGAAATTTTTAACCTACCGATCTCGGTAGATTAAAAAATTGTGATGTCTATTCAAAAGTGCTAAAATTAAGTTTATTTTAATAAAGAATTTTCTGTACTATTCTAATATGTATTGTGTGAATTATAAACGTTAAATACCCATGCAAAGCCAGGGCAGACCCCTAGTCTATACATATAAATAAAATTGGAATGTCTGTTTGTAATATTGAAATAACCGTTTTTACATGCATATGAATATAAATACGGTACATACACCAAAACATGATTTTTTACAATTTTTGTCTGTCTGTCTATCTGTTTGTTCCGGCTAATCTCTGAAATGGCTGAACCGATTTTGACGGGACGGGACGATATTGGCAGGTAGCTGATGTAATAAGGATTAACTTAGGCTACTTATATTTTAGAAAAATAAAGTTAAATTCCACGCCGACGAAGTCGCGTGAACAGCTAGTCTATAATAAAATCATAACACACCCACAAATCTATATAAAATATTTTTAGTAGTGTAGTTTATAATCGCGCAGTACGTTGTATTGAGAGCAATTGCTTTTTTGCTTGACGGATATCTGCTTACACGTTTGTGTATTAGAATTTGACGTCAATTTTACGTTGGATAATTGTGCTAGAAATTTTATTGGTAATAATTGGAGTCAATATATAAGCTAACAGTAATGTATAATATATATAAGAAATACCTCTGCAATAGTATTTCAGTTTTATTTCTATAATGATAAATTGAGCGCAGTGATTGCTGGCTCATCCGTCAGTATCACTACATTGATTTACTCTTATTTAGTCACTCAACCAGTTGGTTGTGTATTTATTATTTAGACTGTAATCAATTTGTGCTATTTACTAGTTTATATTAACACATTTCAACTTATAAATGTAGAATTACAACAATTGATAAAAGGATAACACTTTACTTGCTCATTCTTTTTGTGATAATACAGCTTTCGGAATGAACGGTAGATTTAAAAATAAGAATATCTACTTAATGCAATAATGCTTAAATTTAAGTTGATTTGTATAAATATTTGCTATTCTGTTATAGTATAAATGGGAAAGTAATAAAAAATATATATTTATATAAATATAATATATATTTATATAAATATATTAATTTTACTGAAATATTTCAGTAAAATTAATTTCATTTATGTACCTACCTACCTATAACTTTGCTCAATAAATTAAATATAAGATATCATAGCTTACTATACAAATGTTTTGACGTTGAATTAATTCGCAATGATGTCAAAAACATTTACCATCCTTAATGAAATTCCGGAAAATACAAATCATTTATCAATTTTCAATTTGAATTAATGAAACTCATCTGCTTATAATAAAATTAAAAATAAAACTATTAAATTAAACAAATATATTATTATATTACTCATCATTGTTATTTTGAGAAATGTTTGTCAAAGATTTGTATGTTAATACATTCGCATACGGTGTCTCTATAGCACATTTATAACAAACGATCTTCTGGCTCACCTGATGGTAAATAAGTATTGTGGCATACCAAGGGAAATGCAAGTGCATTGCTGGCCTATTGAGGAGAAATAAGCACCTTTCGTGTAGGAATAAAAATGTGATGTGTATATTAACTGAAATGGCAAACAAACTGATCCCCTGACAAACAAACTGAGCCCACCCGATGAAAAGCTCTGACATAGTCATAAACAGTACGAGCGATACAGTGGTTTTTTTTATTCCATTCATGATTCGCTCGCTCGTATTTGTACAATAGCTGCTTGGCGACAAAAATAGGTGAGCCAGAGGTACTAACACAAAGACTTTGCACAACCTCTTTTTTAAATCAAGAAATAGCATAAAATAACTCCAGAGAATAGGACAAAACAGTTCAATATCTATTATTAGGCGCCTTATTGGCGTTTTTTCTTTATTCGTAGAAAACTTATACGTCCAATAACTTATTTTTGTTATAAAAAATCCTATATTTTCTTCATTTAAAATAATGTGACAGAATAATACAATAGTTGAAATGTATTTCTATAAGTTGTATTGATGTATTTTTTCCCTGGACAAATCACACAGCGCTATCTATTCCCAAGCTAAGCAAAGATTATGTTATGAATACTGGACAACTATTACATTTTTGCAAATACATATATAATATACATAGAAAACACCCAGAGAAATACAATCATTCTTACTCATTAGTTGTTTGTATCGTGCGAAGAATCGAAACTGCGACCTCCGAGATATTACAAGATAAGATGCATGATCTTAGTTTCGGAGGACTAAGATGTAATTTGCAGTGCCTCTCCTGTGTAATTTCACCTTCGACTTTAATGACAATAAAACGGGTAGTATTGAATATATATACAATACATACATATATTATTATACATATATATTTAATAACAAATTAGCTGATGGCCTATCTCATGGTAAGCGGTAAAGCTTAAATAAATAAACAGCACTAAGGACATTACAATGTTAGGTGACACCCGCGACACCACTCCAGCGTTGCTATTCCAGTGGACTAAGATGCTATAATTTCATTGCCTAATTGAATATAACCGAAATACAAAACAAGCTGAATGGCAGCTGACATAGGCGAAACTGAGGTGCTCACAGAGACGACATTTACAAAGTCCTATAACCATTAAGACTAGTTGTCGACTAGCGGTCGGTAATCGACCATAATAAAAAATACAAAAAGGCCTTTGAATCAGCAAAAGGAAATAAACAAAAGAATATATAGTATGACAAATACATGCAAGTGCATGTAATGTTTTTTTATTGATTTAATGTATTTTTTATGCATAATAAAAATAATTTTATTCTGCACTCCTTCTCTATATAAAGTACTAGCAGTACCCGCAATTTCACCCGCGTGAAATTTATAGCCTATATGTTGTTCTGATGTATAATCTATATGACTGTACCTACAGTTTCATCAAAATCCGTTCAGTAGTTTTTGCGTGAAATAGTAACAACGATCCATCCACAACGACAAAATTTTGGGGTTTATAATATTAAAATAATAATAAGATATGCGTGCGAGGTTTCATACTCATACTCCCCGCAATTTTCGTAAAAAGATGGCACAAAGGTTTCACGTATTATCTAATGATTTTTTTCCCTAGAATGTGAAGTTGGTATATGTTCGTGTGCTCATTCATCCCGCCTCCCTGCGCCGGTTGTGACCGCTCAGACCACGACACATGATGGAGAGCTCGTCGCCAACATCAGCTGGACCCTGCCACAACCACGATACCCACAACGTCTCCCACGTGGGTTGCAGAAGAAGACTTATTTTGTAAGGTTCGTGGCAACAAGTTTTTAATCAGTCGAAATAGAATTAATTAGAAATGGTATCATAAAAGGCAATATCAGAATCAATTAAAATATCATTATGAAATCGAATGATATTTTAACTAAGAGCACAGTAATACACTACTGCGACATATGTGTGTCCCAAAGTTTGTTTGTTCCAATCCACCCACGCTAGTAAATTTTATATGACAGGTAATGTTTTTGACGGAGTCTCAAGTCGGAAACACATAACAAACCACATTAATTTTAAATGCAAGATAAATATCCTATATTCCATGTACAAGTATATATTCAATTATAATGTTTGTATTCAATTATATAACAGTTATTATATTTAAAAACTGTTAAATAATTGTATACAAACAATAATAGGGAATTTAACATTTAAATAACAAATATTCTCTGATAGGCCAAATGCGGTAATATGCGGTTCCCCCTCGAATCCATTGTGATTAATTCCTGCTAAACTTATGACTCACGATGGGCCTACTGGTCATCCTCCACTGGTGCCCTGGTGCAAAAAAATATATGGTATTTATGACGCAGTTGAAACTTTTTGACTGTTCTAAATTCAATAACATTTCTTTAACAGTATAGGTAAGCAAATGGTATCAGATGCTCACCCATCGCCATGGTTTGCAAATGCCATTACACGAAGAGTTGACGCTAGCGGAGCTGTAGCGGTTGGTGATACCTCGCGGTGGCTTCTGTTGCACATTAACGAACGGAGCGGAGAGCAAAATGAACAAACTAGAGTGTCAGATGTCAAGTTACTGGCGCGAGTCAACTTGATAGATGAACGAGGATGTATTGGGCCTGCTGGCAACGCTACCGCTTATGGTAGGTGCATTATTTATGGTCTAGCTGTTTAGCATTTCGTTAGCATTTCATTATACAAAACATTGGTATTCATCAGAACGCTTGTATAAAATATAATGTAGTGTATTTAGAGGTCGATCTAGATTATTATAAATACTCAATATTTTTCCTACATTATACAAAACATCATCATTACACAAAAAATTCATCAGAACGCTTGTATAAAATATAAAAATGTGAATTTATAGATATATATATAGAATAAGTTTATACAACGTATAATTTTAATTTTCATACTAATATATGATAGCGTAGCGGCTTTTGTATTGATTGCAACGATTGTATTATAAGTAACTCATATATTTTTTGTATTGGGATTAGATGCTGTCCAGACATGTGTTGAAATGATTGATGGCTGCTCACGTCATGAATTGTCCTGATCACTACGTTATTTTTATATTTATATTTGACCCAAAAATTTGTGCTTGTTGGTAAAGAAAAATGTAAACTTACAAGAAAAAAGAGCAACACACAAGTTCTTGCCGTTTTTTGTGATTAATGAAATAAAATTAATGATTATTCAAAAGTGCTTAAATTAAGTTTATTTGAATAAATGATTTTCTCAACATATCATGGAAACTTATAACATACCTTAGCACATTATGTCATTTTATTCTATGTGAAGAGAAAGCAAATATAATACATTTTTAGTTTATAATATTAAATTAACCAAACGTAGTTTGGTACCTTATTATTTGAAACGGTCTATGTGTATTTGTGTATGAGGCTTAACAAATGCTACATTTCAAATAAATTTAATTGGATAAATACCCAATACAATTTTCAAGTAGGTAAAAACATAAACATACTTTAAAATAATTAATAGCCTTTGATAAACTTTCTAAATTACAAGAAATAAGTTGTTATCGTTTAATTAAATATATTACCCATTTTCTTTGATGAATATATTTCTTTGCTTGCAATGAATTACTCGTATATTATTTCTACTAAATTGTAATAAAATTAATGATAAATATAAATTATTGTTACAGATCCAGACGAAGTCAACAAGGTTTCCTATGAAACCTATGTAAGTGCAATTCAATATTACTATTTTTGCATATTTAATAATAAAAAACTATATACTCGTAGGTACATTAATTTTAAAATATGTTTCTCAATTTCACATTTTAATGCAATATATTGAAACTTTTTGAGAACTCAGAGAGATTGTTGAAATATAACACAGATAATCAATTTTACGATATTTTCAAATATATAGTTATTTATTTGTATGGCCTCTGGAGTCTAGCGGTATAGCACACCATCTTATATCTGATGGTCGCAGGTTCCATTCTTCGCACGGTACGAGCAATTATATTCATGAGTATGATTGTTTGTATCAAATTGAGTGTTTTCTATTTATGTTATGTATGTATTTAATATATATACATAATATATCTAAGTATTTATATCAGTAGTCTAGTACCCATATCAAAAGTTCTGTTTAGCTTAGAACTAGATGGCGTTGTGTGAATTATCCAAGGATATTATTATTATATTATATTGTTTCAGGCTGTATGGGCTCTATTAGGCGGGCTCTGTGTTCTAGTAATGGTTACAATACTAGCAGCCAGCGCTCGAGTTGTAAAACGAATACTGAACGCCTTACGTCCTCCGCCCGCGTCCGCTCCGCTTGAGCCACTGTGTCGCCGCGCTGCTTGGTTACCTCTACGGCTACGTTCGTAAGTACATAGAGTTTTTTAGTAGTTTTTTTTTATTATAAATGATTTTACTCGTTTTTTTTTCAGACTGCATTTGCATGCGTGTTTTTTTTTTGTAAGTTTTAGATCGTCATTGATTTAACAAATACTTATTGATTTCATTTGTTAAATTATGTTCTAAGAAGTTTAAGAAGTTTAGTTCGTAAGTACCTTATGTTTTTATCAGCAGGTACTTTGTAATACTCAAGTCAACTTAAAAAAACTTTTAAGTACGTAACTTCAAAAATCAGATTATCGTGATTTTTATGGAGACAGCAGGCAACTGTGTATGTAAATTTAATAAAATAATAACCTCAAACATTAATAATAATATTCTGTACAAATAAGTACATATCTTTTATTAAATGCTATCTCACAGTTACCATGGTAACACAAGGATGCCGTAACATTATATTCTGATAAAGTTTCGTTTGGAATTTTATATAAAAATTACACAGAATATCTTATTACCTACCTACTACTTGAACAACTTGGTAATTTACTTTGACATTATTATGCTTAACTTTGAATAACTTTGCGGGTTCAATTATCGTTTCGGTAAAACAAAAGAAATCAAAAATTTAAGAATTGTGTAGCGACTAAGTATCAAAGTTAAGTATTTATATGTTCCATCATACAACAATAATGGAATATTTAGGTTGATATCTCATTATATATAGATTATATTTAATATTGAGTAACAATTAACCAAATATTATTTATGATTTTAAACGTAAATGTAATTAACGCCTGATAGATTGTTCATGGCAATTGAATAACTCGGCACTTGTCTTCTAAAAAAAGGAATCTAAGAAAGTTAATCGTTTGTCTTGATATGGGCATGTAATGCATATGAGTAAAATGATTTTAAAGAAAGTATAAAGTACTAATGTGAATGGTTATAAGAGCAGAAGAAGGGCGAAACTCAGATGGATGGACTATGTGAAAGAAAGTATGGCAAGAACGGCAGTGATTAACGAGATGACTGCGAACAGGGATAAATGGGATAAGGAAGAGCAGATAATGGTACTATTTTTTGCACCGGGGTTAGAAAAATAATTAGACGTCAGTAAAATATTGATATTAGTCAAATTTGAACTCTTTCTGTGTGTATGGGTGGCCAACCACTAGGCCACTACGATCTCGTAATACTGTAATTGGCGTAAAGTGACCTATCTAATTATTTTAACCTCCAATTCTAGATATAGGAAAACCATTTTAGTACTGTCATTGAAGTTAACGATTTAGTGGAATATTTATGTGTTTTGCCATTTACTTGTATGTCCCTACACGCTATTTCACTTAATGTCTCTGACAGGTTGTCACTTAGTCGAAAAGATTACTTTGACGTGACTCGTATAATCGAATTTGGCCTTTTTACAGTTCCGTCACTAAATAGCTAAAAAGTATCTTTTATAACTTCGTTAAGGGCAACTTTGGCTCTGCACTGATGTATATTTTTGCTTATGAATTTTGGCTTATTCGACAAACTCTTTATGTTTATGAATTTTGGCTTATTCGACAAACTCTTTATGTCTATTTTAGGGGTTATTGACAAAACCCCTGTTATTATTCATATTATCGATTTTTTAGTAATACTTTAATGTCGGATTAAATCATTTATTAGAATTTAATTAAAATAATTTATGACAACAATTATGAGTAACACCGTACGGCGCTTCCATTAATAAATTAAACAGTTTTACATAAAATGGAATATATAATGTCATTTAATTTTAATAAACGTTTTAATAATAACAGACGGGACGATTAAAAAAATAAAAGATTTCATATATTTCTCTAGTAGCTATGTCAAAAGTGGCTATTTAGTGAGTCAGGTATACGTTCTGACTTTAGTGTGCCTTAATTGGTAAATCCCACTTTCTTTCCGCGATCATAAGTGTTGGGTATGCCATTCTGAGCACAATGACTCATATACTTACATAAAGTGACGTAACTATAAGTATGGCTTTAATTTTGAATATTTTATGTAAACTGCATATATACCTTTTAATATAGGACGATGGGTAGTTACGTCTACCTACTTAACGTTGTGAGAAAGTTAATGGCATTTATCGTACATACAAATACACGCATTTGTATCTTTTAGAAGTGGCTTATCAGTTTTTTATGGTATATTAAAAATATTAGGTAAAATTAGTAAAACATCATGGGATCTTACCACGGGTAAATACCCGTGATCGTGGCGGTTGAAACACTATCGAAATATCGGGAACTCAATAAAAATAAAACGTAAAAATCATGGGATCTTATCCAGTGATTTTTACTAATTTTATAAGTATAAATAATGCCGGCGTCAAATTTAAAACAGTATAAGTAAATTAGGTGAAAATATTGGTATTAGGGCCTGAAGGCTATTCTCTATACGCCTAGATAGAACCAGCATGATTTACATCAAAGGGACCTTTCCTTTGATGTAAATCATGCTGGTTGTCTATATATCCCATGGCTACGATATAGTCGGAGGGCGTCAAGTTTTAAGTGGGTAAAAAACCGGCAGTTCCCACCAAGTTAATGGGCCTCTATGGCTTGGGTAGTCCTATATTTATATTAGGTTTTTCTGAAGTAAAAAAAGGGACATATATTACAGTGTTATTGTTCGTTGCCGTTTAATAAATAAAAAAAAATATATCACATAATTGGTGCACACAAAAAAGAAACGCATTGGAAACTTCCTACTTTTTTAAGTCCGTTAAAAATCTAGGTTTAATAACTGTGTTAGAAATGTAAATAGAAGTATTATGTAGTTATAATATAACGACATAATGTTATTATGTGCGGAGAGTGGCCATTAGTTGGCCAACATTGTTGAACTGGGGCTAGATCATTCTGTTACGAACTCATTTCCTTATTTATACCATCTTTATAGATGGTACCACGTTACATTTGAGATTTGGTGGAGATTATTTTTTTATGTGTTTTGTTTGGTGGAGGTTTATTATGTGAATACCGCAATTAGTTTTATTAGTTCTGATGTAGTCAGGTGTCATGAGTCAGTCATGCTCACTTAAATGACTAGACAGGTGGTGGCGTGGTAGGACGGGTCATTGGGCTCGCTAAAATATGGTTGGCTTACCTGATATATTAATTGACGCGTGCAACTTGTAGGAACTAGACTGTTTGGATAACTATGACTGATTTATTTTGTTAGTTAAGTAATTATTTATTTAGTTATTTCAACTTATCTATTTGGGAGTTTGTATTCACTCGAAATCTTAAAAATGTAATACTAAAGAATGGTTATTTAAAAGAGCAACATGTAAGTCATGTTCATTCTTCTTCTGTTGTGTCTAATCTATGAGTGGTAGAATAAAAAAGAAATATGACAATTCTGAACTTCTTACAACAAGTTTAATTGAAAGAAAAAATATTTATATTTTGATTATTATTTTGTAATAATATCAAATTTTCGACCGCGTTGGTACAGCCATTTTGCGTACCCCGTACTTTCTGATGGGAGTGTATTTGATTAATTACAAAGAAAAATTAAGAAAAGATTTTATATTTAATATTGCTTAAATTGAAGTCAATGTATCTCTTCAAGATCAGGGGACAAAAATACTTAGATTCTTATTTTCATATACTTACCGGTAAGAGAGCTGAAACTGAAAACCATGTATAATACTCATGAAACAGAATTACTTTAATCAAAGAACAAAGTAGAAACCTGAATATGCATTATAAATATTTTTTTATACATATCACCGCGCAGTTTCAAAATTAAGTTCCATTCGACATTTTTCTTTTTTTATGAAAATTATTCAGTTTTATCAATACCACCTCTGGTTTGCGACTTCCTATACCTTTTATGACTAAACCTATATAGGTACAAATTGCCCGCTCAATGGACATTCGTCAAGCGTGATTTTTTTCTAAGAAACACAATTTTCTAAATCAGTGTCCAATGCCTTGACAACTGAATATGAGGAAATGTAGATAAATGGAAACTATTGATAATAGCAGACATTTTTCACGACTGAGGATTGAACCTATTGGATTGAACCTACCGACTGGATTAAGGCGATATCAGATAAGTTCTATTTCTTCCTTAAAGACTGGATTGAAAAGTGGAATGTCAGACTTGAATTTCAGAATTTCCTTTACCCCATTCCATATATATATATATAATAGTAAGTACGTATATGATGAATCTTAATACATAGAGAAGAGCAAATATAAGAGTAATACCACAGATAACATAATATTACATAGTAATACGAAACATCCAACTTGCTCTAATCGTCCGTGGATTAATTAATTACTGGTCGTAACTTCCAGCCATACATTACTTTATCTGTGTCGGTCTGTCTGTTATATATATATATATATATATATATATATATATATATATATATGTTTATCGCTTATCATAAAATCCATGACAAGTTTGACGGAGTTTGGGTAGAACGGCATTTTATTAATAGTTAGAGACATTGTCAGAATTATTGTGAACGCACCGTTTAATGTGGATTTATCTCCTGTAAATTCAAAGAATTCTCGGATTATTTTTGTTGGTGGTTCTACCCTCACTGGAGAATTTTATGTATTAATAGACGTAAAGTATTTTTGTTGTCACCTGGATACAAGACATTAATAACGTATAATAATAAAAGTAAATGGATAGACATCCATTAAGGTAAAAGATTATTTTTAAGTAATTTCAATTATGTCATAAAAGAGTCAAAGACGGTTCATATTCTGGTTTATGTAAGCGACAGCTCAATTACCACACGATGAATTCACAATTTAATGGAAAAAACTTCGCTACACAACAGTCGAGAATGATATTACATCTGATGTTTCTGTGAACAGTACTTTTTTTCCCGTATAGCAATTTTTAAATGAATACTTTACAAAGTAAGACTCAAAACTCGAGTCTATACTTTATAAAGAAGTAAAGTTTGTAAGTTTGGATGTTCGGTGTAATCTCCGGTTCTAAAAATTCCTTATTTAAAAGGGCA